GTCTGTTCAAGTCTTTTGCCCATTTCTGAATTGGGTTATTTGTCTTTTTGGTGTTGAAGTGTTGAAGTTTTCTATAGATTTTGGAGATAAGTCCTTCATTGGATATGTCATAGGCAAATATTTTCTCCCAATCTGTAGGTTCTCTTTTTACCCTTTTGACGAAGTCTTTCAATGTGCACAAGAATTTAATTTTTAAAAGGTCTCAGTCATCTAGCTTCTCTTCTACCTTCTGTGCATTCTGGGTTACGCTTGATAGTCTATTTATGCTGTAAATTAGGACTCCTAGATTTGCCCCTATTTTATCTTTGATGAATTTTATAGTTTTGGGTTTTACATTTAAGTCTTTGATCCAGCTTGAGTTTGTTTTTGTGTATGGGGTGAGGTATGGGTCTTGTTTCATTTTTCTGCAAGTGGATATCCAGTTTTGCCAGCACCGTTGTTAAAGAGGCTGTCTCTTCCCCATTTAATGAGTTTTGGACCTTTGTCAAAGATCAGTTATCCATAGATGGATGGGTCTATATCTGGACTTTCGATTCTATTCCATTGGTCTATCTGTCTGTCATTGTACCAATATCATGCTGTTTTTTTTTGCAAGTTTTTTTTTTTTTTTATTAGGATTTGGGTGAAGATTTACAGAGTAAATTCACTTTTCATACAGCAGTTCACATATACTTTGTCTCATGTCATTGACCAAAATTTACAATGCAGCAGCTCCCCTCCCACTTCCTCCCCATAGTTATCTTCTCCCAGTGTCCATCCCTTCATACTCTTCGAGAGGCCCATTGTCTGCCAACCCTGTATATGATCTTGGATACACTCTCCATTTAGACATACATAATTGTTTAGCTTGTTCACCCATCTATCCGTCCCTATACCCATGTTTGCTTTCATTGACAACTCAGTATTGTATTTACAAAGGGGTTCATATTTGTTGTTTGTACTGCCCGTGTAACTCTCTCTGTCTTTCTCATCCTCAATGCTGCCATATTGGTCACTCACATTTGGTACATTGCCCTTCTCTTCACCCAAATCAATATTTATCTCTATCTATCTAACAGCATTCCCTCCCCTTCCCTCCCACCCCTGGTAACCAACAAAGAAAATGTCCTCCAACAGATAAACCTTTCCTTAACTTTCACAATAACGGACTAATACAATATTTGTCCTTTTGTGACTGACTTATTTCGCTCAGCATAATGTCCTCCAAGTTCATCCACGTTATGCGGTGTTTTGCAGATTCTACATTATTCTTTAGCGTTGCATAGTATTCCATTGTGTGAATGTACCAAAGTTTGGTTATCCATTCCTCAGTTGTTGGACATCTAGGTTGTTTCCAAGTTTTGGCTATTGTAAATAGTGCTGCGATGAACATCGGCGTGCATATATCTGTTCTTGTTATGGCTCTCACTTCTTTAGGGTATATACCTAGTAATGGGATGGCTGGGTCAAATGGTATTTGTATTTCCAACTTTTGAAGGAATCGCCATACTGCTTTCCACAATGGTTGATATCATGCTGTTTTGACTACTGTGGCTATATAGTAGTTCTTAAGATCTGGGAGTGTGAAACCTCCCACTTTATTTTTCTTCTTGAGAAGTACTCTGTTTATTTGAGGTCTCTTTCCTTTCCACCTGAAATTAGTAATTAGTTTTTCCACGTCCTTAAAAATGTTTGTTGAAATCTGGATCAAGATTGGGTTAAATGTAGATCGCTTTGGGTAGTATTGACATTTTTATAATATTTAGTCTACCTATCCATGAACAAGGTAGGTTCTTCCATTTGTGTAGTGCCCTTGTTGTCTCTTGTAGCAGTGTTTTATAGTTTTCTTTGTATAGGTCTTTTATGTCTCTGGTGAGGTTTATGGCTGTAGTCTTTATGGAAGCAGACTACCACATCTTTCTTCTGTGGAATGGCTGGTTGGTTCAAAATACTGATCTTTTGGTTAGTAGCCAATTGCTTTACCACTGCACCACCAGTGCTCCTTGTTGAATGGCATAGTCTCTACATTTCCAGGGCCCATTACTTATTAAGAACAGTTGTGATGTTTAAGGCATTGGAGTGCTAATCAAAAAAGTCAGTGATTCAAACCCACCAGCTGCTCTGTGGGAGAAAGATGAGACAGGCTGCTTCTGTAAGATTTACAGCCTTGGAAACTCTATGGGGCAGTTCTACTCTGTTCTTATATGGTTACTATGAGTCATAATTGGTTTGATGACAGTGGATGGGTTTTTGGGTTTTACTTCTTAAAGGGCACTCTGGTGGTACAGTGATTAAAGCATTTGGCTGCTAACCAAAAAGATCTGTGGTTTGAACCTACCAGCTGCTTCGCGGGAGAAAGATGAAGCAATCTGCTCCCATAAAAATTTACAGTCTTGGAAACCCTATGGGGCAGTTCTACTCTGTCCTGTAAGGTTGCTATGAGTCAGAATTGACTTGATGGCAGTGGGTTGTGTTTTGTTTGTTTTTCATTTATTAAGCATAGTTTTTAACTTGGCTGCCAATTAGATTGCCTGGGGAAGCTTATAAAAAATATCAATGCCTGTCTCTGGTCTTGTGGTTCCCAAATGTTGGTGCTCATCACAGATGAGAATCATCGAGAGAGCTAATATGATTGCAGAAGTCTACATAATGAGTTGAGATAGGGCCCAGGCCTTTGTATTTTTACCAAGTTCTCCAGATGATTCTGATAGCCACCAAAGCCTGAGATCCACTGCTCCAGGTCAGTCTGAATCTCTTTGGCCCAGACAGTGGTGTTTTTTTAAGTGCTTCTAGATGGTGGCATAGTGCCTAAAGCAGTTGACTGCTCATCAGAAGGCTGGGAGTTCAAACCCACCAGCCACTCCTGAGAAGGAAGACTAGGCAATCTATTTCTGTAGAGATGCCACCCTAGAAACCCAAGGAGGGGTCTCTGTGAGTCAGAATCAACTTGACAGCAGTGAGTTTGTTTTTTGGAGATGGGATTTTAAAGTTGTATTATTTTTTTTATTGACATATAATTTATATAACATAAAATTCACCATATTAAAGTGTACAGTGTAGTGAGTTTTAGCATATTCACAAAGTTGTGCCGCCATCACTACTTATTCCAGAACATTTCCATTACCCTAAAATGATGCCCCATGCCCATTAGCAGTCACTCCCCATTTCTTCCTCCCCCAACCACTGGCAGCAACTAATCTACTTTCTGGCTTTATGGATTTGCCTATTCTGGCCATTTCATATAAATGGGATTATATAATATGTGGCCTTTTGTGTTTGACTTACTTTACTTACTGTAGTGTTTTTGAGGTTCATTCCCAGGTAAGTTTTATGGGTTTCCAAGGTTAAGAAACTACTTATATGGCTCTACAGCTACTCAGCCCATTAGTGTGTGTTAGTTCTCTGGGAAAAGCTGCCCTTGGCCCTGATTCTGAGCAACCTTCTTAAGCAGACTTCTCACTGGTGGCCCTCTGCAATTCCTTTGTCCCATGGGAAAGACCCTGCATGCTGTTGCTACTCACATCAGCAGCTCTCATCACTAGTGAGCATCGGGCACCTGTGTTCTGCTGTCAGAGTACACGTTTCTCTGATTACTACACTGCTAACTTTGGGCAAGCCTCAGAGTTTTCTTATCTGTAAATTGGGGATATAATATTATCATGAGAGTTCAATATAGTAATACATATAAAGCACTTAAAAGAGTGCCTGGTATTTAATAAGCATCCATTTTCTGTGTTTGTGTGTGAAAGAGAAGAGAGTGCAGAAACAAAGACACGGAAACAGTACATAGTGGAGGTAAGGGATGGGGCGGGGCCGCTGGTGTTCATATATCTCTATTTGAATTCTGTCTATCACTGTGTTGTTTCTTTGAGCAAGTTATATCACATCTGAGTTGTTTTTCTTATCTGTAATGTTAATGATAATATTATATACATTCTTGATTCTAAGTAACACTATTTAAAAATTTTCACTTAAATTTTTCTGAAATGGCGTCTCTGGGAGGTACAAACTGTTAACATGTTCAGCTGCTAACAGAAAGATTGGAGGTTCAAGGCCACCCATAGGCATCTTTTAAGAAAGGCCCAGTGATCTGTTCCCTTTCATACAGTCAGTGAAACCCTAGGTAGCACAGGCATCGGTTCCTGTTACACAGGGGTTGTCATGAGTTAGGGCCAGCTCCACCGCAGCGAACAGAAACTTACCTGAGATGGCCTGGGGTGTGTTTGTTACAACTGATGCATATGTGTAAGCTCTCCCCCACTCTCTGAAAAGCTGTTGTTAAATTCATGCAGTGTTTGTTGAGCCTGGTGTATGGTAAGTAACACCAACCTCACAAGGTTATTGCAGGTATGTAATGAGATACATGTATGTGGAAATACTTTTGTAAACATGATTCCAATGTAAGATATTTTAAAAAAATGAAGGTGGTAGAAAAGAATTTTAGTAATTTTGTGTAGAACAAATAGAATATACTGTAAAAGCACATTGTGAACTATAATAAGGGGTATATATGTGCCAATTTTGCCTAGTATTTTCCCCTTATGAAGTTTATATTAGGTGGTTTTTTGTTTTTTTGTTTTTGTTTTTGTTTTTTGTTTTTTTTTTTGGTCCTCTTGGGTGAATTTCACTCTACAGATTATTTTCTCATTCACCTCTTACTTCTGGTGGGTGAGCGTTAATTTGGCTGAGCTTTGGTTTCCTCATCTGTGATGAATTTAGCCATGAATTTTTAGGTTCAATGATTCCATAGGGTAACAGCCCATAGTCTTCAATTTTAATCCAAACTCTGCTCCTAACTGGCTGTGTGACTCTGGGCAAATTCATGTTTCAGTTTTCTCATCTGTCAATGAGGACTAGGTAACTTTTAAAGGCTCTTCCAGTTCTATTCCCCTACTATTCTCTAGGATTCTGTATCTGGGTCCCCGTGTTGCTTGCTGGAGGCTGTGAACACAGATGTAAGGAGACAATATATGCTGCTGCTTGGAGGCTTCATTCACTAATTCACCACGTCTGTCCTTTAGGGAATATCCCTGGCTCAGCTGTGCTGGTCTTTGACATCCACGTGATTGACTTCCACAACCCCTCAGACTCCATTAGCATCACCTCCCACTACAAGCCCCCTGACTGTTCAGTGCTGAGTAAGAAGGGGGATTACCTCAAGTATCACTACAATGCCTCCCTTCTGGATGGGACTCTACTGGACTCCACGTAAGGTCACCTGGGAACGGTGTGGGAGCTTGGTGGCTGAAAGTTGTGTTTTCCCATGATTCTCCTTTTCTTTTCATCAAATACTGGTTAAGAGCTTCTCTCATCTCTGTTCCTTCCCCATTGTGGGGCTTAAGTCTTCATCACTGCTCAGGTGCATTATTCAGAGAGTTACCTATTAATGGTAACTGTGCTCCAGGTCACTTCTAACCCTGTGAAAATTTTCTTTCTGAAAAACAGATCACTTCATATAACTTCCCTTTTTAAAAACGAACCCACAAGGGACACTGAATTTCTTTCTATTAAGAATGAGAAAAAATTTGAAAACTGGTAGTGGTGATAATTCTACAACACGGTGAATATAATAAATGTCACTGAATTGTTGTTGTTGTTAGGTGCTGTGTTACACTGGGCTCTCTAGAGAAGCAAAACCAGTAAAGCTTATGGAGAGAGAGAGAGAAAGAGAAATTTATCTTTGGAAAATGGCTCACACACTTATAGATGCTCGCAAGTCCCAAGTTCTTGGATCAGACGTCAAGCTGGAGTCTTTTTCCGACTCATGCAGCTGCAGGGGCTGAGGAGCTCAAAGTTGGCAGGCAGCATATTGGCTTTTGACTCCAATGAATGACGAATCCAAGATCTCCAGGCCAAATGGTAGATTGTTCACTCATGGACTGTTGTAGGCAGCACAACAGAATCCCGATCCACAGGAGAGTGTCTCTTTTCCCAGGATGTCCATAAATATACTGGAAGCAAGCAACACCCCAGGGGAAACTCCCTTTCAACGGATTGGCTGCTCAAAACATATACATCTGATCCCATCATGGGAATAATCCGCATCACAATTGCTTAAACCACACAGAATTGTGGTCCAGCCAAGTTGACACACAGCTCCACCTATCACAGGTGCCATCACATCAACTCCTACTCAGAGTGATTCTGGGTACAACAGAACAAAACACTGCTTGGTCCTGCGCCATCCTCACAGTCCTCGCTATACTTGAGCCTGTTGTTGCAGCCACTGTAGCAGTCCATGTTGCTGAGGGTCTTCCCCCTTTTCCCTGACCCCCTACTTTACCAAGCATGATATCCTTCTGCAGGGAATGGTCCTTTCTAACAACATGACCAAAGTAGGTGAGACAAGGTCTGGCCAATCTCACTTCTAAGGAGCATTCTGGCTACACTACTTCCAGGACAGATTTGTTTGTTCCTCTGGCAGTCCATGGTATTTTCAGTATTCTTTGCTAACACCACAAATCAAAGGCATCAACTCTTCTTTGATGTTCCTTATTCATTGTCCAGCTTTCACATGCATATGAAGCTATTGAAAATACCACAGTTTGGGTTAGATACATCTTAGTCTTCATTGAATTAGACATGTAAAAATGGTTGAAATGGCAATATATATATATATATATATATATATATATACCATAAAAATTAAAAAAAATAAAAATAAAAACACCCATAGGTAAAGTCCAAACTCTTAGTCTGTCACTTGAGGTGCTCCTTGCGTGGCTCCATTCTGCCTCACCAGTCTTATCTCCTGCTGGGACCCTTCTTCTGCCTCCCAGGGCCACCACGTACAGCGGTGCTGGCTATGCACTGTTGTTGCACCCTGTCTCTCTAGTCTACCTTCCATCTAGCCATCTTCTTTTCTGGCTTAAATGTCCTTCCTTTTCTCAAAAGCTTTCCTTAATTCCTGGGAAGGATCAACTACTCCTACTTTGGTAGTCTCATAACTTTTTCTTTCTTTCTGGTGGTAAAACATATACATGTAGTCCCCAGCTTAATGACATATTCAGGCCATAACGAACGGCACTTACGACCATCCATTTTTTGTTTGTGTTTTGTGTACATCTTATCATTATTAATATGTACTATGTACAGGGTTGCAGCTCATAATTTGCTCATGTTAACCCCCAAAGACAGATAAAGATTGGATTTATAAAGACACAATAAAAAACAATAATAAAACAAAACTAAAAAAACAATAAGGTATTTGACTAACATCAGAACCAACTAACAATGGCATCCTCTGAACAGAACCCTGTAGTTAGTCGGGAACTACCTGTATAACATAAAATTTACCATCTCAGTTATCGCCAGCACACCATCCAGTGGCATTAGTTACACTCACAATGATGTGCAGCCATCACTACTATTTGTTTCCAAAACTGTTCATCACCTTAAACAGGAACTGTATGCCCATTAAGCATTAACTCCTTAACCATTCCTCCTCAACTCTGGTAACCACTAGTCTACTCCCTGTCTCTGTGCGTTTGTCTATTCTTGATGTTTTGTATAAATGAGATCACATGCTATGTGTCATTTTGTGTAATGTGTTCAGTGTTTACTCACATTGTAGCATGTATTAGAACTTCATTCCTTTTTATGGTGGAATAATATTTCTTTGTATGTATATATCCCATTTCGTTTTCCCATTCCTCTGTTGATGGGCATTTAGGGTGTTTGCACAATAATCTTTTGGCTTTTGTGAGTAATGCTGCAATGAAAATTGGTATACAGGTCCATAAAACTTTTTGTATTACCTGTATTTTAGTTATTTAGTTTTTTTCTATCTGTTGCTGGTCTAATACCTTGAGGACACCCAAAGTGTTTATTCATCTTTCTATTCCCTACATTTAACATAGACTGTACCACAAAAGAAGCATTGTATAAATATTAACTGATTAAGGTATGTTCTGAAATATATGAAATAGAGATCAACAGTATAAACTAGTATCATACATGATACATATAAAGGAAGCTGTAGTTCTTATGCATCTAAATCTTCAGATGTGTCTTTAAATTAATACAATATTCTTTTCCTTGGGAAAGAACCTTCTTAGCCTTTCTTTATATTGCTGTAATATAAGGAGCCTTGGTGGCATAATGGTTAAAGTGTTTGGCTGCTAATTGAAAGGTTGGTAGTTGAAACTCACCAGCTGCTCTGCATGAAAACGATGTGTCAGTCTGCTTCTGTAAAGATTATGTTGTTATGTGTCATCGAGTCAGACCTGACTCATAGCGACCCCTCCTTGGGTTTCCGAGGCAGTATCACTACGGAAGTAGATTGCCCCATCTTCCTTCCGAGGAGTGGCTGGTGGGTTTGAACCGCCAGCCTTCTGGTTAGCAGTCAAGTGCCTTAGCCACTATGCTACCAGAGCTCCCTCTGTAAAGATTACAGCTTTGGAAATAGTATGAGGCAGTTCTACTCTGTCCTCCAGGGTCACTAGGAGTTGGAATTGCCTCAGTGGCCACAGGTTTGGGGTTTTGCTTGGCTTACAACAAATCTCCTTGTAAAGAAATCCCAACCACCAGCTATTGGATAGAAGCATGTGGAGGGGAGTGGGGACGAAGCATGGTCTGTAGCTGGTTTGAGGGTCAAGTGAGCTTTTGCTTGCAAAAATGGCCCCAAAGGCTAGAATATAGCCTATATGGGCAGTGGCTTGCTGTCATTGCTGTTGTTAATGTTTATATTACTGTCCGGTGCTCTTGAGGCTGTGAAAAGGGGAAGTGACGGTGGAAAATGAACAAAGGAATTCCTTCCCATGGGCTCAGGAAATCCTTTGCATGTAGGGCTGGGGGGACTGTCTTCCTGCCTTCAGATGTGTGTGTGGTAGATTCATAGCATTTTTTTTCTTACACTGTTGTAAAAAATATATATACTTTATAACAGAACATTTGCCAATTCAACATTTTTCAGGTGTGCAATTTAGAGCTATCAATTACATTAGTCACGATGAATGCACAGCATTCTTCCAAAGCTTGCGAGAGCCAAGTGATGGAGGGCTCCTCTGATCATGGACGCCATTTTGTACCTTGAAAGTCATTTGTGTTACATGAAATCAGCATCATCTTGGGTATCCTTGCTGGTTTCTTCTGTGTAATAGGAAATGTGGCAGCACCTGCCTACCTGCGTGTGGGGGAGGAGCCGCTTCTAGAGATGTGACCCAGTCCCACCTTGAGCCCGTATGAGTACTATAAATAACACCGCAGATGTTGCTGTTGGCACTGCAACTCTCAGGGCTGAGAGGATTGATAGCCATGTGGGCCAGGAGCCAGAGAGGGCGGAGGTACAGACAGGAAGCTGGAAGCCTAGAGTGGATAGGAAGCTGGGAAGAGTGCAGAAGGAATGAGAAGAATGAGAGAAAATAAAAATAGATGGGTGACTGAGGGAAAAAAATTAATGGATTTTCAGAGGTGACACTTGCAAACAAATTGTTTGCTTGGAGGCCTTTCTTAGTATGTGTTTAAACTGGCCTCCGAGAGGAAAAACAAATGTTCATTATTTGGTAACTAAATGAGTTCTTGAATATTCCGTAAGACTGAAACTGAGTAGTCCCCTGGGAGGTCCAGTGGCTAGCCTCTGGAGAAGGACAGAGTGAGAGCTTCTGTGCTGCAAACAGAGGAGGGATTGTGTATGGGGAGGGACAAAAGAGGGCACCCACCCTCAGGCCGTGGGCCAAAGGCATCCTGTGCCAAGTAGAACAAATGCAAACCTTGTTTTGGTTTGCTGGTCCCAGAGAACTACCCTGGTCCTGGGAACCAGCTTAAGGAGGAAAACAGGCTGTGGTCCTGGGCATAGGGAAGGCTGGGAAGGTATTTGGCCCAATGGGCCTTCCCTTCCACTTTGCTTCCTAGTGGTGGACAGCAGGGGGCTCTTGGCATTTGCAAGGGCAGGGAAACAGCATCTTCTGACCTCTAACTTCACAAGAGGGAGATAGAATCACCATCAACAGCCCAAGGCTTATTCCTGTGAGGCCAGACATGCCAACACCCTCCAGCCTTTTTACCAATTCTGACACCAGCTGTCCCTCCCTTGGCACTTACTACTTCCCTGCTGGGTTGGATAATTCGTTCAGTGGCTACACAGAACTCACATACAATACTCACAATTATGGGGTCTTATTAGGGAAGTAACAGGCTACAACTCAGGGTCAGGAAAATTCTCAGGATACAGTTCTTCAGTCAGGACAGTCTTCCCTCTGCTATGCCCTCAGGGGTGCCTCTCTGGCCCTCTCTGCCTGGCCTCTGCCCTGCTTAGGCAAATGTTACAAAGCTCTTTTAGCTCTGCCAATAGGTACATCTAGGTGTACCCCACTCCGTCAGCAAGCCTCCTGCCCAAGAGCACTCAGCTTTCTCACTCTGTGGCTAGGTAAGCCTGTCACGCTGTCTCGTGCCTCTTGGTTTCTCAGCCAGTTCTCTGCCAGGTCAAGTCTGTCAAGAAGGTCCATCTCAGGGATCTTGGGTCCAAGGACACTTCATCTCTAGCTCTTCTGTCTTGATGGCAGTGAGATACCCTCCCTCCCTGTACGCAGCGCAGCTCACTGCTGTTGAGTCAGATCTGACTGATAGCCACCCCTCCTTGGGTTTCCGAGGCGATATCACTGCAGAGGTAGATTCCCCAGCTTCCCTTCTGAGGAGTGGCTGATGTGTTTGAACCGCCAGCCTTCTGATTAGCAGTCAAATCCTTAGCCACTACATTACCAGAGCTCCTTCCTTCCCTGTAGAAGAGCTTGTTTTAAGCCTGGCAGAGTGACAAAACTAACCAATCCCAACATCAGAGTTCTACACACCTTATTTACATGGTCCCACCCAGTAATCCGGTGGGAGTTACAAAGACTATGGCTAGAAAAGCCATACCGAGTAATTCACTACACTGCAGCACTGAAGAACATACCTATGATTTGCCTTCAGGAAAAAAGTGATAGGAATGCCATGGGTTTATTTTCAGTAGTGACTGAGCTATCAGAGCCAGCTTTTATTATCTGGATTCCCTGGGGACCGTGGCAATCAAGAGTAGTCAAAACTATGACCCTCATTAAGCGATCAGTTACTTCACGCGTGTAAAATTACTCACTACTGATTAGTAAGTAAGCACAAGTAAGCCTGTGCTTACCTTGCTTATTAAGTAATCCACCCCTGACTGAGGCTCTCTATTAAAAAAATTCTCATGAAAATCCCTGACTCAAACATTGACCAAAAGAATCTCTGGAACAAACACAGAGAAAATTTACAAGACCAGCGTAAAGAACTGTTTTCCCCTAAATCATTGAAGAGCAGATTGCCAACATGATGCCCCATCCCCCTTGAATGCTTTAGTGTGCATTTCATACAAAAACAAACATTCTCTTACAGTGTTTTTTCAGTTTGTCATACAGTGGTGGGTTGCATGTAGTTATGATGGTGGAAGTTATGCCAGTGGTGTTTCAGATACCAGCAGGGTTACCCATTGTTTTGGTTACTATTTTGCTCCTCTAACAGAAAATATACCACAGATGGGAATGGCTTGAACAAATAGGAGTTTATTCTCTTACAGTTTTGGAGGCTGTAAGTCTGAGTTCAAAGTGCCAGGCTCTAGGGGCTGGGTGAAAGCCCCTCAACCTTGGGCTTCAGCTCTGCCTCCTGCTCCCAGCCCCCTGAAACTGGAAGCTTTTCTTCACTAAGCTGCTGGCTGCTGAGGCTGACAAGCCCAAGGTAACAAGTAAAAAGGCACAGTCCCAATGTTACCAAACAACATGGCGGGCCATGAATTCAAGTCCAAATGAAGTCTCAAGATCAGTAGGGCATGGCAGGCTGTTGAACAATGGCTTGGCTACATGGAGGGTTCAAGTGTGCCAAAAGGCTAAAGACCAATCCCAAAGCTTCTCCTTATATACAAGCAGCAGACCACATCATTAAAGCAAGTGCTCAGCTGCTCACAGTAGATTCCACCATGGAGCTGATTACCAGTCTCATCATGGGGAATAACTACCTCCAGCTGCCCAGCCACTCAACCAGGCCCAGCCAAATTGACAACAATGTTAACTGCGACACCCATGGTGGACAGGTTTCAATGGACCTTCTATACCAAGACTAGGAAGAAAGGCCTGGCGATCTGTTTCTGAAAATTAGCCTATAAAAACCTTATCATAACTCAATACAGCCATTAAAATCAGGAAGTAACATTACTACCATCTAATCCTCAAACTCCACTTAAAATTTTCCAGATAGTCTCATAAGGTCCTTTACAGCAAAAAGATCCCATTCCAGTGTGCTCCTCCACTCTGGGCCAGCTCCTCAGCCTTTCTTGATTTTCATGACCTTGACACCTTTGAAGATTATAGGCTGATTATCATGCAGAATGTTCCTTATGATACAGAGATGATGCATCTTTGGCAGAAATACCACTGATGGGATATTGTTCTTCTCTCGACAATACTCTGAAGTACTAATGAGTTAATGACCTAATCAGGCATTGTTTTGTTTTATTTTCAGGTGGAATTTAGGCAAAACGTATAATATTGTTTTGGGATCTGGACAAGTCGTGTTGGGAATGGATATGGGTCTCAGGGAGATGTGTGTTGGAGAGAAACGAACGGTGATCATTCCACCCCACCTGGGCTATGGGGAGGCTGGTGTAGGTGAGTAAGTGGAAGCAGTATTAAAAGGTGTTGGGGCACATTCCCCATTTGAATTGTGTGCCTTTGGGGGTATCATATTTAGAAGTACAATATACTTTTTTCATTTTAAACCATCAGAGTTTATGATTTTAATTTTTTTTAAGCATTTAGCATTTCTGTTTAAAGAGTCCAGTGAATTCAGGACTCTGGTGGCACTATGGTTAAAGCATTGGGCTGCTAACCACAAGGTCAGTGGTTCAAACCCACAAGCTGCTCAGCGGGAGAAGGATGAGGCAGTCTGTTTGTAAAGATTTACAACCTTAGAAACTCTGTGGGCAGTTCTACTCTGTCCAGTAGTGTTGCTGTGAGTTGGAAGCATTGACTCAATGGTAGTGGGTTTGGTTAGTGGGTTATGTTAATGCCCTGGTGACCTCTTGAGAAAGAAAGGGTTTCAGTGAAATAAACCTGGGAGCTTCAAATCTCTCTCTGGGAAACATCTATTTCCAAGTGATTTCTCTGGGTGAGGTCAGGCACTTCCTTCTGTAACTACTTCCTGGGATCACAGAATGCTATAGGCTTTTGTTATTTCCCTTGTTCTCTGCCTGTAAGCTCTCCAAGAAGATTTCCTTTTGGAAATGATTAATTTTTAGTTCTGGAAATAATGGCTTTACCTTGCCCTCACAGCTGTTACTTATGTTTTACTTTATGATTTTGGCCAGAATGAACCCTTCACTTGGGGGATTTTGGAATCCCTTCTTTTCAGCACTTTTATACTGCTGTCTGTATAGAGATAGAGGAGACAGAAAGTGCTAATTTGTAAAAAACCATTGGCACGTTGGACTGTCTTAAAATCATTGTAAAAAGCATTATCTGGTCCCCCTGCCAATCACATAAGAAACCCTCTAAAAATTGTGTTGTGTATCTTTTAAGACTCCTCCTGTGATTTATATTTTAATTATATATAAGAAATAAATAAACTGCAACGTAATAATAATTTTAAATAATATATATTACATTTATTTATTGATGACTTTTTGGACTCTATATGGTTCTTTAATTTGTATTTAAGTCATATCTTTGGTCATCATTTTAAGGTATGTTGTATTATTCTTAAAATTCTGCAGTTAGATGTAGCAAGAAGTTCTACCATTGTAGTCTAAACTAGTGGCTTTCAAAATTTTTTCATCAGAAACATGGCAAGGAATCATTTAATCATCCAAGTCTGTATTGTACATAAATGTACACTTTATATATATACCAGGGCTTACAACCAGGTTTTTTTTGTGTGTGTGTGTGTGTGTGTGTGTGCAAGACTTTAGGAGAGCAAGGTGAATATATTTTATTATTTTATTTTTGTAAACGGTTCTTCCTTGTTCAGTCATGACTAAAGAAGTGAATGTGGGGTGGACCAGAATTTGTAAAATGTGGATGTACCAGAATGAGAAAAATTATGAGTTGACACCCTACTAGAAACATAATCTCCCTCTTAGAAAAAAAGGGCAACATGTGCACTGCATAGCATCCAAATCTCTTGACAACCAAAACTCTTGACAGGCAGAGTTGGAAACAACAGTGCCTGCCTCAAAGATGGGGGCTGACCACACTGCTTTGAAAGTGTGTCATGCTCCATACTCCTGGCAATGATCCAGCGTTAGTCTCCTGAAAAGGCTCACTATGCCTCTTCCAAATATACTATTCCAGGGCTACAACCTACAATTTTTCTCATTCTGATTACTGTTCCAGTACGCTCACATTTTACAAATTCATGTCTATTCTGATTTTGCTGCATTGCCCAGTAGTGAACCAGTTTGAAGGCCTGATACATACACATTTAGTTGTATACACATTATGAAGCAGGTTTCATGAACCAGTGCCTTTCTTTTCTATGCACAGTGCACCCTGATCTATTCTATTCTATTCCTAACCACCCCCATACTGATTTCATGACTCATAAATGGGTCACTATGAACAGTTTGGAGAAACTATGTGCCTAGTTAATTTTTTTTTTTACTTTCATAAGAAACAGCTGCCATTCATTAGGCAACTAGGACTCTAGATGAGGGAAAGGGTGATTGAGATGGGTCTCACCTTTGTGCTGTGGATGCTAACACTACTTCCCTCACCCTCACCCTGTGGCATGGCAGATGGAGAAGTCCCTGGCAGTGCTGTGCTGGTGTTTGACATTGAGCTGCTGGAGCTGGTGGCGGGCCTTCCGGAGGGGTACATGTTCATATGGAATGATGAAGTTTCACCTAACCTCTTTGAAGAAATTGACAAGGATGGCAACGGAGAGGTCCTTCTCGATGAGGTAATTGGCTTTTGAAGGAAAGTGGGACTAAAAGAGCCCATGGAGCTTCCCCTTGTTGGGCCATGGGGCCCATTCTGAATGTGAAGGCTTCTCAGAGTGAGGACAGCAGTGCTGCATTGTGGTGATGACAGCCAACATACTCATGCACCCAATACGCATACACTCTAAATCAAAGTTCACACTACCTCCTTGGAGAAACAGAGCCTCCAGTGAGTGTAGGGAATGATCTGAGGGCACATCCATCTGGACCCATTTCCCAGTACTGGTGCTCATGGAGTGTTTGCGTTGTGCTGAGTGTTCTCCTAGGCAGTGTATCGTTCAGCCCTGTCAACCACAGAATCACAACTATTTTTCAGAAGAAGAAAGTGTACAAGGAGGTAAGTGACTTGCCTGGGTTCACACAGCTGTTCAGTGCTTTGAGCCAGGATACACACCCCTGTCTTGATCATCTAGTTCCATGTTGTTTCTCCTGTACCCTTCATGGCACTGGACAGTAGAGTCTTTTGTGTGGACACAGTCCTGGTGAATCCCAATCTCTGCCTGTTCCACATGTGCTCCTTCAAGGACATTGTTCCAGCCTTCTCCCTTTCTCCCCTATCTACTGGATTTCCCCCATCTGCTCATTCATATTAGCATACGAACATGCTATTACTTCTTCTTCTCTTGGTGCCTTTATCCAGTTCTTTCATTTCTTTGCAAAACCTCAAAAGAATTGTCTGTCCTCTTTATCTTCAGTTACTCTCCTCCCAATGTTGTCCTGTTTCTCTTTTAAATTAAGACTTTATTTTTTAGAGTACTTTGAAGTTTACAGAAAAATCGATCAGAAAGTACACTATTCGCACATATCCCTTCCCTGCCTCCTGCCCAGGACCTGGGTGGTAGAAATGGTTTGCATTCGACTATTAATCAAAATGTTGGTGGTTCAGACCCACCCAGTGGCACTGTGGGAGAAAACTGCTCTGTGGAGTTTTCTTGGCTGTAATCTCCACAGAAGCAGACCACCAGGCCTTTCTTTGCAGTGCTGCTGGGTGAGTCTGAACTGCCAGCCTTTAGGTTTAGTAACTGAGAGCACACTGTTTAAAATCCATCAGGACATGATCCTGGCTGTCCCTTGAGAATCCATCCAGAATCTGATCACTTCTCTCCATCTCCACTCCATACCATCCTAGTCCAGAGCCCATCCTCTCTCACCTGGATGACTGCGGTAGCCACTTTACAGATCTTTCTGCTTTCACCCCTGCCCTGCATAGCAGGCAGAGTGTTCTCAGAGCCCGTCAGGGGCTCCCCATTTCTGAAGTCCTTACAGTCCTTACAGGGTTTGTCAAACCCTCCACAGTCTGCTTGCTGTAACCTCTGCCTATTAACCCTCTTGCTCACTCTGCCCATCCTCACCCTTCCTTTGCTGTTCTCTGGACACACCAGGCATATGCCCATCTTGGGCCTTTGCACCAGCTGTACTCTCTGCTCAGCAGATTGTTCCCTCAGATAACGACCTGCTTGGCTCCTTCCCTCACTTCCTCAAGCCTTTCCACAAGTCTCCCTTTTTCTCTCAGGTTTATCCTGACCACCCAGTTTAATGCTTCAACCCATTCCCCACCTGAACTCTTGATCTATCTGACCTGGCTCTACTTTTTCATTTTTCTGCAGCATTTCACTAACTTAACATATTATTTACTTATTTATTGTGTTCATTTTTAGTTTTCTGTCTTTCCCACTAGAAGGTAAGTGCTACAAGGGCAAGATGTTTATTCTGTTCGTTTATTGATACATCTATCCCAAGAATCTAGGATAGTGCCTGGCACATAATAGACATGCAGTAAGTTTTTATTGTATCCAGAAGTGAATGAATGCATGAGTGGATGGATCCAGCAATGTTTTCAGAGGCCAGAGTGGTTGGAGGTTGGGGGGATAGGTCAGGCTTTGGTGGAAAGAAGGGATAGCTCAAATGGCTCCTATGAATTGGCTGTCTGGATCCTAAGAGCTCTTGACATTTTCAAACTGCATATGGAGACAAAGTCCCTGGGTGGGGCGAACAGTTAATGCGCTAAACTGAAGTTTAGAGGTTAGAATCCACCCAGAGGTGCCTCGGAAGAAAGACTTGGCAATCTACATTTAAGAAATCAGCCATTGAAAATCCTGAGGAGCACAGTTCCACACTGAAACACACACGGTCACCATGAGTCAGAGTTGACTCAGCAGCAGCTGCTGTAGTGTGCGCTGGAGGAAAAACCCAGGTTGTGTAGGTAGCTCACAAGAAGATTGTGTCTGTTTTGTTAGTTGAGATGCAGATTTCAGCTCCCTCCACCTCAGGCTGCTCTGTCTCGGGCCCTGTGCTCAGCCTTCTCAGGCAGCTGTATCTCATGTCTATCCCGTTCCCTTTCTCTCTCCAGTTCTCGGAGTACATTCACGCCCAGGTGGCATCTGGTAAAGGGAAGCTCGCACCTGGTTTTGATGCTGACATGATCGTGAAGAATATGTTCACCAACCAGGACAGGAATGGAGACGGAAAGGTCACAGTGGAGGAGTTTAAGCTGAAAGACCAGGAGACCAAACATGATGAGCTCTAAACTCAACACGGGCCAGTTGGTGCCAGGGAGAGCATGACACCATGCCACCTGTTGTGGCAGAATGCCCAGTGAGGTGTGAGGGTCTCTCAGAAGGCGCATCATTAGTAAGCAGTAGATGGGTCACATTGTACCTGGTGCATACATCAGGGCCGGGTTGATACACAGGGTGAGAATTTTAGGCCAGCTGCCAAGAACACTAAACAAAATCAGTGTGAAATGCCTTAGCATGGGACATGTCAAGTATGGAAAAGGCTGCACTGCCAACCCCACATTGCTTTGTGAGCCTTCTGGGTCATGTTATTAGAAGAAAATAGTGTCATACAGAAGTTAAAACCATCTTGAATGGGACAGAAAAAAGTGGGTGTATATGTAAAGAGGGTTACCTTTTGTTATTGTTATTATCTTGCTAGTGTTTTAAAAGTATTCTCCAGATGGACAGGGATGACAAAAGGCCTGTCTAGCAGGATTCCCAGAAAGCAACTGCGTGGGCTTTGTCAGCAGTGGTAAAAGGCTCTGGTGATGCCTGGCCTCTCCAGTGGCAGATTTTGCTTTTCTAGTTAATCACACCCCTTTTTGGTTCTCCAGTTGCCAGTGTGACTTTGAGGTTAAGAGCCTCCTGGACAGAAAAACCAGGGGCCCAAACAAAGGGGGTCTTGGACCACAGCAGAGAATTTGATCCTACATCTGCCACATAGATCATCTGCTTGACTCTCTCTTACTTACATTGCTGTGTCCCATACAGCACTCTCCTCGTCCTGAATGGGTTTGATTAGACAGACACAGGAGGCTGCTGGCTGGGCTGCACCAAGTCAACAGAGGATTTCACTGTGGCACAGACAGACATGTAGCCCCCAGCAAGTGAGCACCTGAGGGATCAACAAGGTGACATTTTTCTGCCATTCATTTGTGACCTGGAAAAGGTGAGGCCTTCTCTCTGCCATAGGAAAACAAGGACAATCCCTGCCTGCCTGTTCCCATAGTGCTGTCTTATGGCCTCTGTTCCCAAGTGGTGGTGGCACTTACCCTGAAGTCATCCAAGATTTTTCCTTTTCAAAGCAGATTTGTTTTACTAATTTAAATGATTTTTACTGATGTAGCCCTGAGATAGTTCATGCAAATACTGTGCACTCATCCAGTGGAAAAAATGTTGGAAAAGTGATCTTTTCTTACATAAAATATTGAATTGTATCATCTGGCTTTGTGGTGTTTTATTTGAAGGCTGAGAAGTTCCCATGAAAATGTATTATGCACTCAGAATCCCTTTAATGAAAACTTGACAAGACTGAATTGCATTTAATTGGACACAGCATGTTGGATGGTATACAGGGTTGTAATGTCAGTGCTGGAAGGAAAAAGAAGGTGCCTCATACGGGATTTCAGAAAAGAAGTGAAGGGACTATTTACAGAGATAGGGGTTAGGGTTCATAGTGAGGAACCAGTGACAGTGATATTGGCCAGCCACAGAAGGAAGCAGTTACTACTCCTGGGCCTGATGGGGTAAGGGTGGGGGAAAAGCAGGATTCACTTTGAGAGAGCCGTAGATGGACACAGCCAGCCCTAGAACTGTGGCTAGCTAGCTCTGAAGCAGGGAAGGAGTGAGGAAAGAAATACCCCAACCTCTCTGTTGTTCCACTCTGTTCACTACCACTGGCTGCCATTGGCTGAATGCAACCAGGTGCCAGAATGAAAAGTACCCAAGGTGCTAGAGTTCTCTCAGAGGTCAGCCTTTTGGGGCACAAAGGTGGAGAATGAATCCAAGGTAGGGGTTGGAGTGGGAGCAAATGGAGAGTAACTGGCACATAAGGGAATGGAGGGGGGAATGTGTGTGTGTGTGTGTGTGTGATACACACACATACATGTATTATGTATATGTGTGTATATGAACAGTTCTGATTCATGGTGACCTCGTGTGTCAGAGTAGAGCTGTGCGGCACAGAGTTTTCAATGGCTGATTTTTCAGACGTAGATCACCAGGCCCTTCTTCTGAGGCACTTCTGGACAGGCTTGAACTTCCAACCTTTCAGTTAGCAGTGAACACATTATGTGCACTACCCCCGGGGATTATCTCTGTCTCTATCTATGGCACAAAGGTTAAGTGCTCGGCTGCTAACTGAAAGGTTACCAGTTCATATCCACCCAGCAGCTCTGAGGGATAAAGGCCTGGTGATCTGTTCACATCAAGATTATAGTCTAGAAACTCTATGGGGCAGTTCTACTCTGCCATATGAGGTCACATACATAACCACATATATGTATGTACACACATACACATCTTTCTTTTTTTTTAATTGTGATTTGGGTGAAAGTTTACAGAGCAAATTCACTTTCCATACAGCAGCTCACACACACATTGTCTCATGACATTAACTACAATTTACCCCAATGTAACAGCTCCCCTCCCACTTCCTCCCAATAGTTACATCTTCCCTGTGTCCATGCCTCCATGCACTCCTGTCCCCTGAGCTTTCTCCCTGTGCATACACAGCCCTTCTTTTTCCATGATTGTTCTCTCCAAGGAGTTTATTTACCTCAGGTAAATGTTTAACTCATATGCCTATCTTTTGTTTGGCAGGAAGCCACAAGTATGGGTTCAGTTCTAGACCTGAAGGGCAGCTGGGGGCCATAGTCTCAGTGGTTCTACCAGAGTCTATCAGACCAGCAAACCTGGTCCCCCCCACTTTCTCTTTCCCAAATGATTTTGAGTTTTGTTCCACATTGTTCTCCCTCTCTATCCAGGATCTCCTATATAGATCCCCCTCTGAGTGGCTGACAGTGGTAGGTGGGCATCATCTAGTTCTTCTGGTCTCATAGTCATGTAGGCTGAGGATCGCATGTACCAGTGGCTAGGACTAATTCTCTCCAAGAATCTTTGGTTTTCTTCATTCTTTTTGCTCTGGAGGAGGAGAGACCCATCATTGCATCTAGATGGCTGCTTCCAAGCTTTTAAGATCCCAGTCGCTACTCGCCAAAGTAGGAGGTGGAACAATGTTTCGTGTAGTATATTATGCCAATTGAGCTACACATCATTGTTTTAAAAAGCAAATGTTCTTGTTTACTCTTTGCTTTTGGGAGGTAAAAGAAAGGCCTGTCCCTTCCTGGCTGCTGCTGCCCTGTATTCCATCCAAGCCAACCAACGTGGTTGTTGGACACCTCCCTGCTACCCCGAGATAGACTGAGCAAAGGGCTTATGAAGTGATGGGTGGAAACAAGTGTCTGCCTGCCTTGGTTAGTGAGGATGTGAGAGGGAAAGTGTAACTGGGGAAGTGAATCAGGATATTTAAGGTCACAAGGAAGAGAAACTGTGATGGCTTTTGTGTCCCAAAGACATATGGGAACAAAGTAATCTCATCAGCCACAGGAGTCACCCTGGGTCTCCGTTTGCTATGAATTGAATGTGTCCCTCAAAAAGATACTGTTATGGATTGAATTGTGTTCCCTCTCCCCCCAAAATGTGTCACTTTGGCTAGGCCATGATTCTCAGTAATTAGGTAATTATCCTCCATGCTGATCTGATGTAATTATCCTCTGTGTTGTAAATCCTAACATCTGTGATGTTAATGAGGTTGGATGAAATCTACAGGATTAAATTGTATCTTGAGACAATCTCTTTTGAGATATAAAAGAGATTAAATAAGCAAGCAGAGATGAGAGGTAATTACTGCCACCAAGAAAGAAGAGCCAGGAGTGGAGCATGTCCTTTAGACCCAGGGTCCCTGCATTGGGAGCCTCCTAGACCCAGGGAGTGATGGATGCCATTGGAGATCTACAAGGGATGCCAAGCTCACCGATGTTGAAAGGAGACAAGGACCTTCCCCCAGAGCCAACAGAGGGAAACCTTCCTCTAGAGCTGGTGCCCTGAATTTAGACTTCTACCCTCCTAAATTGTGAGAAGGAGCTCTGGTAGCACAGTGCCTAAGGCACTTGACTGCTAACCAGAAGGCTGGTGGTTCAAACCCACCAGCCACTCCTCGGAAGGAAGGTTGGGCAATCTACTTCCATAGTGATATTGCCTTGGAAACCCAAGGAGGGGTTGCTACGAGTCGGGTCCGACTCGACGGCACATAACAAATTGTGAGAGAATAAATTTGTTTGTTAAAGCCATCCATTTGTGGTATTTCTCTTACAGCAGCAGTAGAAACTTGAGATATGCTGAAGTCCTAATCATTGTGCCTTGTTAGGGCATGACCTGTTTGGAAATCAGGAGCTCTGGTGGCTCAGTAGTTAAAGCATTCAGCTGCAAACCAAAAGATCAGCAATTCAAATCCTCCAGCTGCTCTAAGGAAGAAAGATGAGGCAGTCAGCTTCCATAAAGATGTACTGCCTTGGCAACCCTATGGGATGGTTCTGATAGGGTCGCTGTGAGTCAAAGTCAACTCAATGGCGGTGGGGTTTTGTTTGTTTGGAAATAGGGCCTTTGAAGATGTTAGATTAACACAAGATTATACCAGAATCTGTCTGTTCTCTTTTGTAAAGGCGGCACTCCAGTGGGATTAGGACCTATCCTATTCCCCATCCCTTCACCTCTTTTCCACTTTTCCTTCTCACAGTGCTTCTGGGTTCAAGGGGATACTTGAACAAAGATCACTTGTTTTTTTCTCCAGTGCAGCTGGAGACTTGAAGTGGTTGTGCCTTACCTGCTTTTCTATTCTCTGGCTTGGACGCTTGCCTTTTATAGGTGAGTTGTGAGTGGGAGGCGGTAGGCAGTGTCCCCTTTTCTCCTGGTCTCCCAATTTCCTGTCTGATGTTGTCTTTAACAAGCAGTGGAACTGCAGCCTGAACACTTGAAATTGGGTCTGGTTCTGCTACGGCTGACCTTGATAAATCTCTTTATCGCTTTTCCTCACTCACAGAGAATCAGTAACTTTCAAGTAGTTTTTCTAGCATCTTAAAGAAAAAAAGAGTATGCCTTGCCCTGAGACAGCACACTAAAAGCAGAACTACTTTGTTTTGCCTCCGTTATGATGGTTTGAATTGTGTCCCTCCAAAATACAACTTGGCTAGGCCATGATCTCAGTATTATGTAATTATCCTCCATTTGGTGATCTGATGTAATTATCC